TCCCAGGTTCACACCATTCTCCTGCTTCAGCCTCCTGAGTAGCTGGGATTACAGGTGCCCACCACCATGCCGGCTAATTTTTTGCATTTTTAGTAGAGACACGGTTTCACCATGTTAGCCAGGATGGTCTCGATCTCCTGACCTCGTGATCCGCCCACCTTGGCCTCCCAAAGTGCTGAGATTACAGGCATGAGCCACCGCGCCCGGCCACTAGCCCACTTTCAATATTGCCCAGACAGGATATCAGTAAGGAACCAGAAGATCTGAACAACATTATAAAGCCGAGACCTCACAGGCACCTACAGGGGCACTCCCCAGGAGAGACCACATTCTAGGCCACAAAACAAGTCTCAGTAAATTCAACAGGAATGCACAATGGAATAACATTAGAAACTGGTAACAGAAAGAAATGTGGGCACTTAAAAACATGTAAATTCAACAACACACTCATAAATAACCAATGATCAAAGAAAAAAGTCACATGGGAAATTAGAAAGTAAGTACCTTGAGATGAATGAAAATAAAAATACAACATACCAAAATGTATGGGTTGCAGCAAAAGCAGTGCTCAGAGGAAAATGTATCACCATTAATAAAGAAAAAAGACTTTAAATTGTTTTAAGACGAGAAATATTATGGCTGGGCATGGTGGTCCCAGTACTCGGGAGGCTGAGGTGGAAGGATGGTTTGAACCCAGGGACCGAGCGCAGTGGCTCATGCCTGTACTTTGGGAGGCTGAGGCAGGCAGATCACCTGAGGTCAGGAGTTCAAGACCAGCCTGGCCAATGTGGCGAAACCCCATCTCTACTAAAAATACAAAAATTAGCCAGGCGTGGTGGCAGGCGCCTGTAATCCCAGCTACACTGGAGGCTGAGGCAGAAGAATTGCTTGAAGCCAGAAAGCAGAGGTTGCAGTGAGCTGAGATCACACCACTGTACGCCATCCTGGGTGACAGCAAGACTCCATCTCAAAACAAACAAAAAAAAAGAGATCTCAAATTGTTTTAATACAAGAAATATTACGACTTCGCACTGGGGTCCCAGCTACTCGGGAGGCTGGGGTAGGAGGATGGTTTGAGCCCAGGAGGTTGAGGCTGCAGTGAGCTACAATCACACCACCATACTCCAGCCTGGGTGACAGAGCAAGACCCCATCTCAAAACAAAACAAAACAAAAAACGATGAGAAATATGAAGCACATTCACAGAACTAACAGAAACAATACAGAAGAGATGGAGAAACTAAAGATGCAGAAAACAGAAGAATATGGGCCAGGCGCAGTGGCTCACGCCTCTAATCCTGGCACTTTGGGAGGCCAAACTGGGCAGATCACAAGGTCAGGAGTTCCAGACGAGCCTGATCAACATGGTGAACCCCCTATCTCTACTAAAAATACAAAAATTAGCTGGGCGTGGTGGTGGGCGCCTGTAATCCCAGCTACT